GCAATAATTATGGTGTATATAATCTAATTATGACTAATATGAAGTACATATTTTCTATCAACTAGTTTGGTCTTAACTCTAAACTTATTCACATTTTTAAACTGATTATGTTAGAACCTATCTTATTAAACAATTTTTGTAAAATAAATTATGGATTTGTGAAAAAATTTTCCCTACATACGTTCAAAATTCTATATTCATCTATCTCACCTAAGTGAATTGGTTTCGAAAGTATTTGGCCATTTCTTGGCCACTTTCACTTTCACTTTCCTAACTCATCCATTGACTGGCAATTCATCTTCATGCATTTAGAACCGTCGTCCCTAGAGAATGCACTCTAGACCGCTTGTGCTTGCCATTCTATCTCATCCTAGATGTTCAAACCTTGAAGAGAAAGACGAGTAAAAAGTCTCAAATGATTAAGTATCCATGAGATAGTTTTGCTTATCATGATATTATTCTATAAAACGAGCCAATATTGTTCAAACCTAGGAATTAATCGTACTTATGTGAAGGTTGCATGTTTCATACGCGTTCCCTCCACAAGATAGACTAAGGGCACCATTCGGGATACTCTTGGAATGCGCCAATTCATCATACTTTCTTCTTTTTTTAATATTGCACCATAAGGGTTGGACACAAAAATTTTTGATAGTGGGAAAAAGGAAGATATTGCACCATAAGGGTTGGACACAAAATTTTTTGATAGTGGGAAAAAGGAAGAGAAAGAAAGGTACAAGTACAAAATTGCCTATGTGATTATAAACATAAACTAAAGAATTAAGTGTTAAAAGGTAAGGGTATATAGGGTAATTGAAGTGTGAATACAAATATTTGCTTTTCTAAAATAGGTGCAATATTGTGAAACTTTCTTAAAAGACAAGTGGTGCAATATTTAAAAAACGAGGGAAGTACAAGTTTTATTTTCCTATCAAAGAAAGTTATCAACAAAATAATATAAATTAAAATAACCTGATTCAAGATTTAAAAGACTTTATCGTGATCCAAATAGAAATAACAAACAATTCGTTAGAAATTTAAACAATCCTAAGTTGAAGAACACAATTAAGAATTAGCTTCTAACGCATATTATAGGATGCAAATTGCTAACCAATGAAGAAAAGTAGAAAGAGTTTGTAAACAATTGAATTTAATTAAGGGAAAGAAGGCCCAACTTGGCCAACCGTGAAAAGCCCATCCATTGAATATATCAACTTGGGCCCATATAGCTCAATTCAACCCCGATTTATTCATTTCAATTGAACCTAAATTCCATTTGAAGTTACATATTTTATAATTCAAGGTTTTTTTTTTTTTTTTTGACAAAGGATACAAAAAGATTACATATGAATACTAAAGCAAAAAAAATTAACCACAGCTTCTCCAGCAATTTGATGAGCTTGATGAACACGCTGACGATCCGCCTTGTGTATACTACAATACTAAAAGGTTGAGCCAAGTTATTTAATCTTTCGAATGAGCCAAAGATAAGCAACGTTACCATGACCTTCTCCCGAAGGGTAACAAGATTATAGAAATCAGTAAAAACTGTGAGGGAATGAAATCCTCAATCAAAAGCCTACTGTAACCCATACATGCATGCCAATGCCTCTGCATATAAAGCTGAAGTACAAACCCCGAAGTTACTTCCGTCAATGATCTGATCATCCAACGGGTCACCATTATCCAAGCATCATCCCATCCCAGCTTGTTTAGAATCTAGCTTTCAACCAAGATCCATCTATTTGTAGAGAAAGTAAAGCACTCCCTTGGGTACCCATTCCAAGTTGAGCTATGTAAAAACCAGGCGGAGGAGAGGCACCACCATCACCCCTAGCAGCACAAGGGGTGTTTGCAGAAGCATATGTGTTGACAAAGACTATATGTGAGTCCATAACCTCCGCGAACTGTGAATCAAACGGTCGAGAAGCACTAGAATCCTTAAAGAGTCTGGAATTCCAACATAACCAAAGACTCCAAAGCGTACCGACGAAGGTACCTAAGCGAATACTAGAAGGCCCATCCTGACTAATAAAAAGTCAGATATAATCTTGAATCCAATCTGAGAGAGAAATGTCTCCATTAAATTTTGAGCGGATACCAAGGCATCCACCCCTCTAAACTGTTCGTGCACTACAACACATTCTGAAAAGATGTTGTAAATCCTTTGGTTATGAACCACAAAGGTCACAGAACACATCTTGAATCGAAACAACTCTGTGATGTAGTTCCACCTTAACTGCAAGAGCACGATGTAGCAGTTTCAATAAAAACAACTTTCATTTCGGTTGTAACTGGAAAGACCAAAGAGATGTTGTCAACTTCCACTAGTTGACTGCTCTATCAGAGTCCCACCCTATTGTTTGAGGATGGATGAAAAAACTGACAGTATGATCTGCAATATCCCAAGTTTGAAATCATGAATGCTACCATTGACCCAATTAGCCGCCAGAGTAGACCGCCCATTTTCTAATTTTCCAATTGTTTTTTATAAAGTTATATGTTTATAATTCAACTATTACTGATTTTCTGATATTTTTATTACGTGCCATTATAGTACTAATTACATATTTTATAAACAAAATATAATAAAACTAATTTTCGCTTAGTAAAACTAATTTTATTAATTAAAAGTTATTTTAAAAAAAACTGTTTTATTCAAGTGGAAGAGAACATTAATTTCAGCTTTCTTTAACGAGTAATTGTCAAAATTAAAATAACTAAATCGATCATTAAATTTATAGTTATTCAACCTATGGGTAATTCACTGAAAATAATGTCTTGAGAAAATGATGATCCCCAACTATTAAAGAACCACTGGGTTCATTCATAAACTAGGAAGAAAATCATACTTCATATTTAATTAGATCTTGAGAGATTTACAAGAAATAATAACTAATCTAGATATAAAGACCTAATTGGTAAGACAATTCTGATTTAAGTTATTGATCCTCATTTGTTAAAGATCCAAAAGGATTTTGCATATTTAACAAGATCATGAGAGACATACTAGTATCTAGTAAGTACTATAAGTAGCCAATAGCTTAAACAATTTGCTCACAACTCAATCTATCATTTGATAAATAAATTCTCCATCTTCTAAATTTCTAATTATAATTACAAAAAAGTATCCAAACAATGGCCGGAAAGATATTATATATCCCTCTCATGTTACTGCTACAAGTTATTTTGTTTTGTGGTAAGTGTTTTATTCTTTCTTTACGTAAAAAATATCATTTGTAATCACTCAAAATTTCGGGTCTATTACATGTAATTTTTTTTTAATCAATTCCAATCCAAAATATATATCGATTTACATTTTTTTTATTTGCATGAAAATATATTATAAATGCTCACTCTTACATAATGTATATAGTGCAAAATCTATTATCATTTATATGTTAATTAATTAATTTCGTGCTGTATTTAATTAAAAATAATTAGTACTTTTACCTGCAGGAATTAGTGCTAGTGCTAGTGCTGATGCTGAAAGTTCAAGTGATGATCCTCAGCATATTGGAGCAAAATGCCTACTATTGGGAGGTTGTACCCATGATAATTGTTCGACAAAGTGTGGGGGAATCATCGCACATTGCTTTACCCATTCACTTTGTTGCTGTATATAATATACTATACCTTAGTTGTACCAAACACATACTCCGTACTACATTTGAATAAAGAACTAGTATTTGGCCGGGTTCGGGTAACACCCTGAGTCATTACATTTAATATATAACTCAATCTTCTTGTAATTAAATTTGTTTTTTTTGTATTACTTTCTCGGTTTCTTTTTAGATGACACAATCAACTTAGGCACACATTTAAAGGAGAGAAAAGATTTGCTAAAACAAGTGGGTAGACCATGTGTTTAGCTTATTTAATGAAGTTTGTAGTCAAATCAATTAAAAATAAACTTTCAACTAAAAATATAGGTAGTATCATTCATCACGTATTAACTTTTTTTTTTTTTTTCAAAAGCGATGACACATTTTGGTGGTAAGACATTTAGTGTTGGAATTAGATGTTATACGTTTGGATTTTGTATGGACGATATCGTTGACGATATGGAATGAGAAACAAAGGTAGGAGAGTGTCATGTGGCATTGACACGTAGACATCCTTTATTTGAATGCTTTTCGATATCTAGGTTAGTACTCATGCGATGCACAATTTTAAACAAAATACGAATAAATATAGATGAAGGTAATTAAAATACAAAATATCAAATACAAATGAAATTGATTTGGAAAGTGTTGCAATAAACATGCATAGAAAAGTTTAGCTCCTCCGGTTTTTTGGTTTTTTTTTTTTTTTTTTTTTTTTTTTTTTTGCACCACTTGTCTTTTATGAAAATTTTACAAATATTTCACCATATTCATTTTAGGAAACAAAATATCTCTGTTCACATGCAAACACCCAATATACTCTTACTTTTACAACTGATTCTTTCGTTTATGTTTACATCACATAGATAATTTTGTATTTTTCCCTCCCGATCTCTTCATTTGTTTCCCACTATCAAAAAAATGTAGCCAACCTCTATCGTACAATAATAAAAAGAACAAAGAACGTATGATAAATGTACTCCATATTTTGGAGATGAAAACACAAAGGATTTGTTAACCTTTCAAGAATGGATTTACTCAAGGGAGAAAGACAGCAAAAAGAAGAAAAAGACCCAACTTGGTCAGCGCTATAACAGCCCATTCATTGAACATATCAACTTGGGCCCATATCAATTCAAAGTTTCAAACCCTATTTACTTGACTTAAATCTATTATCTATATACTACATCTGAAGTTCTGAACACGTCTTAATAAGGTTAATCCAATTTTTGTTTGTAATTTAAATTTGTAATTCGATTTGTGAATAAATCAAAGACAAGTAGAGAACTAATTATGAATTAATGCAACCATTTGTAAGTATTTATCACGGTAGTATTGCCATTTTAACTGAACTTTAGTAAAGAACAAAATATGAACATTTTTTCTAATCATGAATTAGGAAACAAATTAATTAAGTAAAAGTAGTACATGGTACTCATATAGTCAGATTTACTTAATCAGGTTAACAGTGTCTTGATTGCAGCAAATAAAATTAGTGTTTCAAAACTCTTAGATTTCAATACTTTACATTTTCTAGCCATTTATTTTTTGTTCTCAGAACAATTAGAATATACATTCGTGTATAAAAGACGATCACTTAGATTTATTGCACTCAGATAATTGTGAATACTCATGACCCTTAAGATGATTTCTTATGTTTCTTCTCTTGCCATTCTTTAATTTCAGCATCGACCATAACTTTCACCTTGTCAAAAAATCCTGGATATGGTTCGTACCCGAAGAAATGATGAAGGGCCTGCGAGATAAATATAATATTCTTAGTTCTCTGTATGCAGATCTTTTACAAGGTAAATCAACTTATCCACTAATACTACAAAGAAAATCCACATCATGTGAGCTAAAACAGTCTTACAGATTAACAGCAAATTTGGTTCACAGTTAATGGAGGCGAGGAAGCGGGAGGAAAAGTGACAATGGAGGTTAGGAAAAGTGACGCAAGGAGAAAGGAGGTAAGGGGAGGGGAGTGAGCTTTCATTTTCTTTCCTAATTAATATTTCGAAACACACATTAAAAGGGTTTTTATGAATGCTCACCTCAAGTAGCACAAAGAAAGGAGCCATCAAGAAGGCTTGTATGAGATTATCCAGAAGAGCAGGTGCTCGTTTCTGTCAAAAATGAAAACACGATTGTTAAGCAACAATAGTTTGATCAGAATCTAATCAGGATATCCGAGATGATCACCTCAAAGACTCCATGACCAAGGAACTGTGCAGTCCAACAAACCAATTGAGCTACCAAAACAACCTGCCAAGGTGAACAAAGGAAGCTAAATCCCAAGGAGCAAAAAATATTAAATTAAGCTAACCCCTTTTAAAGAAAAACGTTTTGGATGGGAATCAGAACATGGATATTGTTTGTGCTGTCAAAATAAAAGAAACACCAGTGTTCAGGCCATGTATAACAGTATTTTCAGCGTGCGTGCAACACTAACAATGTACAGGGAAACTTGTAAGGAAGCATAGTTCTGTTGACTCTTGATATACTTCTAAAGAATCCTGTACATGCAAAGTGACAATGCAGCTATGCAGATGGATGCAAAGGAGTAAAAGATACATCAGAGTTTCAAGGTAAAATGTGTGTTATACAATAGTGCAATTTCAGAAGATGACGTGCAATTTGTTCAGTGTAAATAGGATTATGGCCCTATAGAGTATAGACTTGCCTTAATAAATTCATTTTAGGAGAAAAAAAATTAAGATATGCTCAAACGAGTTTAGAGAAGTTGAGATAAGCTCAAATAAGTTCCAATAAAGGCTACCCAAATCCTATTCACTACTACAAAATGCTCAGATTAGTTCCAATAAGTTCAGAAGAGTGAAATTAGGTGGCAAGAACGCACCCTAACAATAGGAAGATAATTTGTGATGGCATATCTAGGTCAATATGCAACTTCAGTGGTATGTGGTTATACATTGATCTCCTTCATACAAAGAGTAAGATTAAGATAAGTTACAAAATGTTGAGATTGGTTCCATTTAGCACAGATGAGTGAAATAAGAAATAATAAAACACCCTAACAATTAACAAGAAAACATGTGACAACACAACTTGTAGGTCAGTGTAAAGCTTAAATATGCAGCTATTCATTGATCATAGAAAGAGTAAGATCAAAGAAAGTTGCAATATTCAAAGTTGTATGCTACAAAAAGTGCAAATGTCATCTTACTAACATTCTAATATTATGTTATGTATTCATTAAAACATTCAAAACTAGCGGCATAAACTTGAATACTATCATCAAATAAAAACAAAAAAAATAATTTGCTTGCTGACTCTGCTCCCTTGCATTGAAAACTCTAGGCATAGTAAACATGTCCATAGGAACAAACTCATTCCATACCGCAAGACTACAACTAACATGATATTTCCTATGTTTTGCAACTATCACAATTCACAAGGGATTATAATATACGCAGAGGAAAAGAAAATTGGCAATCAAAAAGAACGTTACTAGTGTTTAGTCAAAACACATCTGTGCTGCCTAAGAAAACTTTGGCACATGAGATGCTCTATATAACCTACCTCGATTACTAAATAGGATGAATAGCAAGGGATGTGCACTATCAAACAAAACCAACCAAGATTACAAAAATATTTTTAAAAAATAAATGTATCTTTAATTCTTTATGATTTTGGCATTGAGGGTTACCAGAGCTATGTAGCCGAATTGATGGGACCTTTGAATTTGTTTCTCTCCAACACAGATCAGTCACACAAATTTATTGATGTGATGCAATACATGAAAGACATTGCCCTTCATAGAATTGAGGAGTTCAAGGATCTATGTTAAGAAATAAGTTGGTCCTATCAGATTAGGTGTTCAGTGATTGAATAGCTCATACATTTCCATCTACTTCTACATGATTCTTTGTTGTTCCCAAGCTATATGTCTTTCGACTTATACAATTGCTTTTCAACCCTCGGGAAAGAACAATAATCAGGAATCATGCAAAAGCTACTACAACCACAATGGTGCTGTTTGTCCCTATAAAAAGATGAGGATGGCAGTTCTGTACTTATGTTTATGAATTTGGTATTCAGCGTGTAGTGTCAAAGGCTAATTAATTCTCCAAAAGCTCAGTGTATAACACATTAAGTTCTCCATACTGATTCAATATTTTCAGCACTTTAAATTTCAATAATGTTGGGAATGCAACTATGTACATGAACCCCCTCAAAATAGCCTACAAATAACATGCCAAAAATGCAAGGAAATAATAACTTGGGGATGTTGCTCCTTAGCCATATAGATATGCAAGAGATTGACACATCTAAAGAAGAGAAAACCACCCGTTCTATTAGTTTGCTTTCGCATCAATAAGAAGAGTTTTCATTATCAAAATCATATAAACCTTTTAACTACATTGCCCTCAAATAAATGAACCCCGCACCCCCCCACCCACCCAACAACAACAAGCCTTAGTCCCAAAGCAATTTGGGGTCGCCTAACTTGAGTTGTCATAAGGAAAAAGAGGGAAGGGAAGGAAGAGTAGGGGAGCTGGGGAGGGAGAAAGTGACCTTTGATTTTCCTTCCAAATCTCTCCAACAATAAAGGCATTTAGTTTATTAAAAGGGAAAGGAAAATGGATCCGCCTAATTCCCCTCTCCCTTCCTTGCATTAGATATCCAAACAAAGGATGATGCAACTCTCCTTTTCTCTTCTCTTCCTTTGCCTCCATTTCTCTCTATCCAAAGTTCCAAATATAATGTTACAAAAACTAGTCCCATCAATAAAAAAAACACCAATGGCCTACAAACCATAGTTACAAGTTGAGAGGTCAAGATATTCACAAACCTATTCCCACCAATAGAAAACACAAGTAGTCTAAAAACCATAGTATATTAATGAAAGAAACCCTAATTTGATTTCAGCCTTGAACCACAATAAACATAAAACCCTAGGTTCACAATCCAAAGGCGATAGATCACAAGTCACAACCTAACCAAGATTTATGAAAATCGCCCCAACAAATTCAACTAACATTAATTTAAAAGAAGAATTAATTTGAAAAATTACCTTCCAAGTCAAAGAAAACCCTAGCTGAGTAGAACAAGCAGAAGCTCCAACCCAACAGAGGAAACAGAGAATAGCAGCCAAAAACCCTGCTTTTTTTTCCATACCCACATAAAATACAGCATATATTATAGTGAAAAATAGTGCAAAATTAGGGAAAAATAACGTGGGTACAAAGTATAGTAGCATAAGCCCAGTATAAAAAATTGGCCAAACAAACAGCATATGAATAAAAATATTAACTGGGTTGCTATGATATGCAGCATAAAATGCAAAGTTCTTTTCTAGATCAAATAAGTCCATTTTCTATGGAACAATTTTCTTCAAAAATGGAAACTTTCACTTCAAAAATCGAAGCTTTGGATGAAAAATCGAAACTTTTTCTTCAAAAATTGAAGCTTTAGGATGAACTACTGAAGAGGAATGGAATTTAATAGAAAAAATTAGTTTGCAGGAAAATTAAATTAGGTAATTTTGGTAGTTGGAAATTCTTTGTGATGGCGTGAACTTTGCGGTTAACGTGACCAGTACAATTTACAAGTCTCCTGCTAAAATACGCCACTGGTTCAGCAAAACTTGGTTTTTTTGTTTTTGTATTCTTTTTTTTTTTTTTTTTTTTTTTTTTTTATAAATTGCAAAAAATAGAAAAAGGATTTTGAGAAAACAAAAATTATGGCCCATGCAGGGATCGAACCTGCGACCTTCGCGTTATTAGCACGACGCTCTAACCAGCTGAGCTAATGGGCCATTTGATGATAATCTATGTCCTTGGTTTATTTGACTAATCTAGTTTCTCAATAGATGTTACAAGTACTACGCATATATTTTTTGAAGAAGAAGAAACGTAACGTATATATTTATGTGTATTGATTATTTATATCTTTGATTATATATTTTCATAGAAATGAACCTCATGCAATTTTTTATTTTTTATTTATTTATATATTTTTTCTTCTAATTTTGGGGAAGTTAATGTTAGGAGCTAATTTTACAAAACATCCTAATATTTATTGCAAATGCCCGTAAAATACATCTATTGTGATAAACTAAAAACCCCTTGTACGTTGATTCGATAATTAGGGGAATTCATTAACCTTCATAAAGCGAGATTCTTGTAAATTTGATAGTTATTAATTATTATGGCATTTTTCTTATTTGTCTTGTAAACATGTCGATTATAAGGGTCAAGCAAGCATATGCATACATACTTGTGAGCATTTAAGTTTACACGTATATATACATGCCTTAATATTTTCTACTAATTTACTAGTTTAAGGGCGAAAAAAAAAAAAAGTAGTCTTGACTTTACTATAATTAAAATTATGCGGAGTATGTTTTCTAATGCGGAAAATAAATAATTTGGATAGTTTAGGTTTAATTAGGGTTATTTGAGAGAAATCATAAATAAAAACGATAGGGAATTGACATCATTTATCAACTTAATTACCCTCCAAGAAGAAGAAAAACATGAGTGGAAGAGATTGCCTTATCCAATCCCTCCCATGGAAAAAAAAAAAAAAAAAAAAAAAAAAAAAAAAAAAAAAAAAACAACAACAGAAAAGTATTACACATTTCAACACCAAAGTAAACATCTTTATTATTTCTGAAAAAAATGGTAGAGGCTGTCATGAGTTTCACCTTATCCAAGCCCATATCTCTTCACTGTTCTTCACTCCACCCACTAAATTCAAACACAATTAACAATAATTCTGCTAGATTGCTGGTAACTTAATCATATCATCACCCTCTTTGTAAAATAACTCTTAATTACCATCATTAATTAACACCTATTTATGTTTAATTTGCAGCTTAAACAATGTTCAACCTCCAAATTTGGCAATGGGCTATGTCACCAGGTAATCATAGATGTCAATTTATATATACTTGTATAAAGATTTGAACTTTAATTATTTTATATTTTGATTATAAATTAATCTAATTAATTGCATATTATATTTTAATTTGAATTAAGGTTGAAAAAAGTGGAAGAGGCTATGTTGGAAAAGTAAATGCTTTGCCAGACTTGCCTTTAATGGCAGTTTTAGTTCAGCATGCTGAAGGACAAAGAGACCTCATAACTCACAAATCAATTTGGCACTTAAGCGATAATGCCATTAAAAATGTTTGTAAGTACTATAGGTTATATTAATTCACTTGCTCAATTTAATTTTTTAATTTTTTATATACTCTTGCTCAATGTTAACTTAATCTAATTTTCTTATTTCTAATAACATAATGTTTGAATTTTGTTTTGGATGCTAGACACTTTTTATATCATGTTCACTTGTTGGGGATGTTGTTTCTTTGGAGCTACAAAAGTAAGTACTTTCTAGATTTCTTTATCCCATAGGCAATTTTACTTTAATGATTAGGAGTTATGACACGAAATAAAATCAAGAATGGATAAATTACATGTAACATTTAAAGCTTAGGTCATATTCTGTTCGATATGTAAAATGGGGATCTAATGTAGACACGTGTTGACACCAGCCATTTATTGTTTGTTGATTATGATCATGTGGAGTTGTGGACTCATGTGTGCAGGATCCATACTATGATTCGGAGCAATACAGGGGAGATGGAGGCGATGGAACGGGGCACTGGGTCTATGAGAAGGTAACATATATTCTCATTTCGGTTTTTTTTTTTAATTATTATTTTACATTACCATGGTTTAGGTTCTTGTCTAGAATAACTTAGTAATTGATTATACAGTATACACATTGAAAGAATAACTTAGTACTTCAGTAGTCTGAATTATTTTCTTAATCCTTCAAATTAAGGTTGTGTTCTACTCAATTTTTTAAATAAAGTAATTTTTTTTTTTTTTTAAAATATAAGTTCAAATACATTCATAAGTTTAGACATAATTTTGTCAACTAAGCTCAATTCAGATAATTACTAAATTATTAAGATACTTTTTCATTTTATTGAAATTGCAACCCTTACAATTGGCACAATATGTATAGACAAATGGTCAAAAGGTAATAGATAACTAGGATTGCTAAATGTATGTGTGGTCCAATACTCCAACGACATCAAATTGCAAGGTGAACCCTTTCGCGCAATTTGCAAATTGTGAATTCAAAATTGTGGTATAGATTAAATTTTGGCCATATAGAATTTTGCAACGTTATATGTGCGATTTCAAATAATTAGAAATCATACTTAGCCAAAAAAAAATTCGCATTGAATGTGGTTTAAGGCTCAACTACAAATCGTATTAGACCATAAATTATTTTTAAAAGATAACAAGTTAACAATTGATTTTAAAATTAAACACAAATCACAAACCACATCTATCATGTAATTAAACCACAAACCTTGCATTGAATGTGGTTTAAGGCTCAACTACAAACCATATTAGACCATAAATTATTTTTAAAAGATAACAAGTTAAAAATTGAATTTAGGATTAAACACAAACCACATCTATCATGTAATTAAACCTTACCATACCAAATCGTATATTATGATGTGGTTTGCTTTTTTAGGGGTTTTTAAGAGGATCTATTTGGTTTTTGATTTGGATGTCCAAGTTCAATCGACCATAAACATCCATATGCCCTAGAGACAACAAGTGGGTTGATCATCAAATAATTAAAGACAAATAAAGTAGGTATATTTTACTACGTAAGAAGAATTGAGAAGGAGATAGAAAACAAATTAAATATGTCTTTAAGTACGCGAGTATGAGTAAAGTGAAGAAGTTACTCCGTATTATGATAGAAATTACGTACATTTAAAAAAAACTGCAATTTCTTTGAAACATTTCAATATATATTAATACATAATAATTTCCGAGCCATGCTCGGTTCATAAAATTAATTGTAAATGAAATTCAAATATAAAAGTCTCAGCTCTTGAATTTTGTAAGTCAAATTTCAAGCATAACAATACAAAATTAAATAATAAAAGCTTCTATGCAAATTAATAAGTAAAGTTTCGAAGGGAAATTTCCCTCCAAAAAAAAAAAACTCTGCTTTAGTGGGTGTGTGTGAGGAAAAATTGATTCTAAGAATTCCACCTTTAACCGATTCGCTGCTAATAATCCCACCTTTGGGGGGTATTCTCTTCTAATGGTCCCTTATGACCAGTACTTGTTGTTTGGGTAGTTTTTTTTTTTTTTTTTTTTTTTTTTAAATTCCTTGGCCACGCATCAGTGCATCACCCCCCCTTCCCCAACCAATCCCTCTTCATTTGCAACCACCATCACCAACAACGGCAATTAACCCAAATCATCCCCTCATATCACGCAATCCCTTTGCCTTCGCTGCTCCTTGCTAACTCACTAACAGTCACGCCACCAGCATCCTTTTCACCAGTAAGCCACCACCCGCGCAATTCAGCCATCTCGCAATCCCTGCACTCCAATCCACCACCAATCAACAACAATTCGACCTCCAAATCATTGCAATCAGCAATTCGGCCACCAACAACTTCAATTGATGCTCCAATTTGAAGACCCAAGATGCGCCTTTGTTGGGGTGGGGATTTTCGTGGTGGGGAGGGCTGGGGTGGCGTTTTTAAGGGGTTAGGCAAGGTTGGGGTTGGCCGTTTCGGGGTGTGGGAAGGCTGAAATGAATCGATTTGGGGTGAGGATAGGTTGGGGTGGGGTGTTTCGACGGTGCGGGTGGCCGGGATAGGTTGTTTTAGGGGTGAGCGTGGCTGGAGTTTTGTGTTTCGGTGGTGGGGGTGGTTGGGGCGGGTTGTTTCAGGGATGGGCATGGCTGGCTCTGGTGTTTCAGGATCGTGGGTGAGAGTGGTTGGTTGCAGGGGGAGGGGTGGGTTGCCTAGCCGGGAAAAATGGAAGAAGGAGGGGAAAACGATAAGGAAGAAGGAAAAAGAAAAAAAAAATAATTTTTTTACAAAAAATTTCTTTTAAAAGAAATATAAAAAATATTTCGACGAATCACAAAGTGACACGTGGCATGTTAACCCATTATACCGGTTACCAACAGGTTAGGGACCATTAGAAGAGAATGCCCCCTAAAGGTGGGATTATTAGCAGCGAACCCGCCAAAGGTAGGATTATTAGAATCAATTTTTCCTAAATATTAATTAAGTGTTGTAATTTTAGTTAAACAGACAAAAAAATTAGATAATTTCAGATAACTATACGACTTGAAAATGACAAGTATGGTTTCATATCCAGGATACATATTTTTCACATCAAAATTGCATCCTATACCATAAATCATTTGGTTTTACGTGGTATTTTTGTGTGCCTATTAAAGTTGTACAAATCACATGCGAGTTCTTCCCACACAAACACATACGTACTTCATATTAATAGAGCATGACTAATACAGTAATAAGCAAGCACCAATGAGAGCGATCTCAATACTTATTCGCTGTACTTTGATTCATCAAAAATTCAAAATAGTTAAGGTGAGATGAGCCTCTTCAAAGGATGTAATAACTAAAAGTAGTATGAACTAATTAATTGTTGGCATGCATGTTATAATGTTTGAAAATGCAGCAAGAAGACATAGAAGAATCTGCAAGAGCGGCTTTATGGCGCGAGGAGCTAATTGAAGAAATTGAACAAAAAGTTGGTGGCTTGCGAGAGTTGGAGGATGCTGGTCGCAAAGAAGAGCTTCTTAAATGATATAATCATTGATTTATACATACAGTACTCATTAACAAATCATTTGTGCATAGTTTATCCTTTTTATTTCCTTGTGTTAGTTGAGACGAACACTACAAGAGGGGGGTGAATTGTATGTGAGTTCATATTGACTACTTTTGCGGAATTAAAACAGAATATAAAGGAACTTAGCAATGCACACAAGATTTTACGAGAAAACCTTCCAGGACCTAACTGGAAGTAAAACCTCGACCCTTCAAGGGATTTCAAACACCAAAACAATTCACTATAATAGGGCAAACTCTCCTAGTTACAACCTATTATAATCAGACCTTTACTCACAAGTTCCTGACCGAACTTGCTACTCGATAGGACCCTATCCTACCTAATCTAAATCCCAGACTTAGATTCTACTCGACACTCCTAAATGTCTATTCACTCAGCTTCAATCTAGAAGCCTACAATCTGTATGCAATAAGCTAAACACTCACCCAAACCAAAACAATACAAACTCTTTGACTCTAATATGTGATAGGAAAGCTACACATGGAATTCGAAACTAATATGACAAAGTTTAGACTTGGCAAATTTACACTTAAAAGGTCTCTTTAGATTCTTCACGCATAAACTCGCAAGTTGTGTAAATTATGAACTCTAATTTATATACAAGAAGTACTCGTATGTAAAGTAGGGTTTTCAAAAAGATAGAAATTATAAAACTACCATTTTCATAAAACATGTTTTTATGTAAATCATTTGTAAAGAAAATCTTTTTAGAAAACTTATCAAAGATATAATTTATAAAAAGAATGATATTTTATAAAACCGGATTTTACACAACAAAATCTTTAGAAAATCTTTTCATAAATTAAAACTTAGCTTTTATAAACTTTCCATTTATAAAGTTTGCCAAGCTTTGTCACGTTTCTAATAAATTCTATGCATAAAACTTTCCTAACATATTTACAACAATCCTTAGAAAATAAACTTAACATAAACTTATATTCTAGCAGGATTGTCTCGTCAATTGCTATAGGTTAAGGATAATTGGGCTTCACGCAGTCCAGGATTGAGTTCCTTCTGTCCTTCACTCTCCAGCTCCTTGCTGGAACTTCGCAGACCAAGTTCTTATGGAACTTGCTGTCTTCAACGCAGACCAAGTCAATCTTCTTAACTTGCTGTCAAATCCTTGTTAGGGAACTTCTCTTTATGTTCCTGTTTAGGGAATTCAGTTAGTTCCACTGAGGAACTCTTCTTCTACTTTCTTTAACTTTCCTTGGAGTCTCCTTGTGTCTTCATAATCAGATTACTCTTCCACTTCCAAAGTCAACTTCACCTGTTCTAGTTACAACATATAGAGAGAAATCACATTATTTGAAGTTTGTTTTTATTCATCATCATCAAAACTCTTAAGCTTCAATATCTTGTATAAATAAAATCATGTTAATTACATACGTATATAAAATTACATATGGCATCAAAGTGCTTATTCATTTATGTTCGCATCAACTTGATTTATTATATGGGCTGATAAGAGTATTGAGTATAGGATAGAGGTGATCAAAGTTAGCCCGGCCCGATTTTGGGCGGGTTTTGGGCGGGATTTTTTTGGCCCGAAATTGGGTTGGGCCCGGCCCGGTCCGAAAATTTAATTTTTTTGGGCGGGTTTGGGAATGCGTTTTTATGTAGATTTAGTTGATTTTTTAGGCCCGACCCGAAAATTTAATTTTTTTGGGCGGGTTTGGGTATGCGTTTTTATGCATATTTAGTTGAGTTTTTAGGCCCGGCCCGAAAAGCCCGCACAACCCGACCATTTTGGGCGGATTTGGGCACAAAAATTCCGGTCCAAGAAGTGGGCATAATTTTTTAGCTTTGGACCGGCCCGGCCGCCCAATAATTAGCTCTAGTATAGGACTATAGGAGGGAAAGCTGTCAACCTCGAGATCATTGGTACTAAACATAGCGTAAATTCTACAGTAGTTTATACTACTAAGAAATATTTCATATATCGGTACTATCTTACCAACTAAGTAAAATTTAGTATCAATGAAGATAAATTTACAAGCTAGCTAGAGGCACATTATTTTTATTTGAAACAAATCAATTCATTAATAAAAAGTCATATGACATCTACAAATGAAATCTGAATTTACAAGTACATAAAATTGAATCAAATAAGGGTTTTCGTCATCAAAGTTATGATCGTTGAATAGATCTTGTAATGTGGTACATCTCTCGCTTACATCACTGGAATATACACCCTTTTTGGAGAGACGGTCTAATAATTTGTTGTAGCCATAAGGATGATTTTTATCCGATTCACTTAGCTTGAACTAACGTATTTGAAAATTTGACAATCGTTGCAATTCTGGGTAAATCTTTACCAACGAACTGATAATAGAACACGTTTTTCCTTTGCCTTATTTACTATTTTAATTCTAGAGTATTTTTCTATACATTTAATTACTACTTGCTGATAGTTTATTCTTCCCAATTATTGATTGACTCAACTATTATAATTAAGAGTAGTATTCCAATATATAGTCCAAATTTTTCTATGCATGGGATCAGCCTTAATTGAATTACTCTAAATTTACCCGATTTTTACTTATTTGAACTTATTTGATCTTATCTGAACTTATCTAAAGTTACCTGAATTTATCTAAACTTACTTATTAGACCTTATTAAAACTTATTTTATTTAGTTGTAATTTGAACTTGGACAAACCCTTATTAAAACTTATTTTTCTTGAACTGAATTTATCAGAACTTATTACACCTAAAATAAGTGAAAATAAGGTGAACAGAATAAGCCCTACCATACATAGTTAAAAAGATTAATTAGGTATTTGTTTTTGTTAGCTTAGGTGTATGTGTGACTGCCTATATCATCATACAAAAACTTAATCACCATGGTTTTTATTAGGGCTGCGCAAAACTACCCGAAAAACCAAAAACCCAAAAACCCGATCCATAAACGTTCTAAAATTTAGGATACCCGATCCGATAATTGTAACGTTCGGATACCCGTTCCGATAATTTGTTATCGAGTATGGTTATGGGTATCATTTTAAAATTAACGGTTACCCGAACCGATCCGATAAGTAATTTATTATTTTTTTTTTCCCTACTTAAATCTATTTTTCCAAAATCTAAACTCTTACTCTACTTCATAATCACTTTATAATATCAATGATTAGTAATATTATTAATAATTTGGTCAAGATCATGTGGTATTGTTGTTAATTAGTGTTAAATGATATCATAATAACTACATTATTAAGTTTAATTATCATTATTGGATATCTTATTGGGTACCCGATAACCGATCCGAAAATCCGGGTACCCGAATTTATTAGTTCAGTTTATGGATATCACTTTAGTGATATTGGTTATCGGTTACCCGAACCGTTAGTACTAACGGTACGGGTACCCGTCCCATGCTCACCCCTAGTTTTTATAGCCTATCAAACATGATATTATGTCATGAACCAAACACACACACATACAAACAGTGTTGAGGGATTACGACCCTATTTAATTATTTTGTAAGCACGAACAATTCGGGTTAGTGTTGAAAACCCAACACGAGTCAAATCAACTAAGAAAAATGATGACCAATTTTATGTATCAATAATGATTAAATTTTTTAATGAGCTAATTTTTTTAAAAAAATTCTAAAATTTTAACAATACGACACGTATTGGACATGGAAAAGTGTGTCAGTATCAAGGGTTCTGATATATTTGATTAAATGAGTCAATCGATACGACACGACATATCTAGTCTAATGGGTCATGTAAGTGTTATATCTCCTATATTTCGTCTATCTTTAAACACGAAGACGATATGACACAGTAATATTGAATAATTGATAACAACGTGATAAAATTCACATATATATAGTACCCTGTACCCCTCAATAATAAAAACAGAAAAGACCGATCAAGTCCAAATCGGATTATCCTCAATGCTCCCATAAGGCCAAATGGTTTATTTATTGTCGTTGAAAACTATAATACAACAATTTTGTTCTGTTAGGCAAAGGTTACGTATACACTCAGACTAGGGGGCGGGTGTTCAAAAATAGATCCAGGCCACACGACACTGACCGAACTGGACCAAAAAGTAATTTATTGCGTATAAAACATAAAAAATGGTAAAAATAGAGATTAATTGTGTAAATTGTTAAAAAAAATCTAATTAGACCCGATTATTTCACCTAATTTTTGCTGAATTGAAGTTATTTTTACCGAACTGAAATTATGTTTGCTGAACTGAAATTATTTTTACTGAATTGCTATTATATTTCTTCTTTAAGTTTACTGATTTTTACTGAACTGAAATTATTTTTTTACTGAACTGAAATTATTTTTGTTGAACTGAACTTATTTTTACTGAATTGAAATTATTTTTACTGAATTGAAATTATTTTTACTGAATATTATTTTTTTAAGGTGACGTGAACAGGGCCTTAGTGTGATAAAAAGAATGGATGAAGTATTAAATGTATGGAGTAGTTACTTGTAAAAAAAACAGTAAATAAGGAAAAATTAATACTAAAAAAAGGGGAAAGAATATAGAATTTTTTTATAATACGGATGATTCTATGATAGTCATCTTTAAAATGACTACTATTATATTAATTTTTTATTAGCTGATTTTAATTTATTTTTTAATGTTAAAATTTACATAAATCATGTATCTAAATTTTTAAATCTATTGATTAATTTTGAAATAATTTTTGAATTATTTTTATAATTTTCCTAATTAATTTTCAAATATTCTGTTTTTATTAACACCGAAATTAAAAAATAATTCATAAATTTATTTTTAAAATATAAAAAAAATTAAAACAAAATATTAACATATGAATCAACATTTATAATTAATTTTGACATAAAAACTAAATTAAAAATCAACCAATAATAAATTTGTATAATGGTAGTAACTTTAAGGATGACTACTATAGATTTTTATCTTCTTAAAAGGAATTTAGCTTAATAATTACTCTAATTATTTTATTTTTTTTGGTGTTCTCGGATTCACCCTTTGGGCTAATCTAAATTCGAGGATCAGTTCTGGGTGCTTAGGTTCCAGTCCTCTCCCAATTGTTGTTGCGAGGGCTCGAACACGCGGTCCTCCCTATCAAGTGTAGCCCCAATCACCACTACACCAACAATCATTTGTTATAATTAC